TTAGGATGATTCCTAGGTATTTCAGTTTTTTGGATGCTATTGTGAAAGGAATTCTTTGCCCTATTTCTCTCTCAGTGAGTCAATGACAGATTTAGTAAATGTGAAATAACGGAACTGAGGAAGCCATTTTGTTGTTTTGCACTGCAGTCCTGTTGTGATCTATTGCAATAAAGGCTGGGGCGCGTCTGAAGTTTCACCAGTGAGCGAATCTATTTTTATGCCTTCCGTATTAAAATCCTTTCAGTTTTTCCACCCATTTCACAAACATTAACGGAGCGCCTGTTCTCGGCCTGGAGATAATGATGTGGGACGCGGGCCGAGGCAGGTGCAGCCTGTCCTCCCATGAGTGAGGAGCGGGATGGAGCCAGTGCTGGGCGTTCGGTGGGGCTCCGCGCTCCAGCGTGATCGGGGCCTGCAGGGTGTGGCCGGCCTCGGCTCACTGCCGGAGGGAAGGGAAGTAAGGCCGCTGTGGCCACAGGTTAGGAGAACAAGGGGAAGTGGTGCAAACGAGCGCAGAAGTACGAGGCCCTGTGAGGCCTTTTGGACCAGGGCAAAGGAGTTGGGCCCGGTCTTAAAGCACGAAGACTCCCAGGCTTGGGCACACTCAGGAGCTCTTTATTGACTCAGCACACGCCGGCCAGTCTGCCGTGCTCTGTGGGGAGCGCTGAGGTGCCTCAACGCGTCTGTCCCTAAGGAAACTGCCGCTCAGCCATTCAGGGACCAGTAACTTCTGCAGGCCGTACCTCTGGGCGTTTCTTAACCGCAGCTGGGTACGTACTAGCAGCCAGTAATTTTTGAGTTATCACGAGTATACCTGGCAGAATGAGCTTATGTTTTAATACCCACGATTGATTAATTCTTTGACCCAGACATTTGAAATAATGGCTTTGAGACGAGAGCCTGTCTTAGTGTAACTGTGGCTTTCCCCGCCCGCCCGCCCGCAGCGTCTACTGGCCCCTGTTCGTGCTGGTCTTCCACGCTGTCTCACCCCTGCCCCACTGCATCGCCAAGAGGGTCACCTATGACTCCGACGCGGCCAGCAGCGCCTGCCGGGAGCTGGCCTGCTTCTTCACCACCGGGATCGTCGTTTCTGCCTTTGGGTTTCCTGTTATTCTGGCTCGCGTGGCTGTGGTAAGTTTTGTTGTCTGTCGTTTTCCTCAGCTGTCACGGGTTTACTTCCAGGGCCCACGTCCGGAACCTCAGTGCCGTTTTCACGCGTGGACCATGCTCAGAGCCGGATGCGTCTTTGGTTTCTTCCTCCTTTGCCGTAGATGAGTCCGTCGGTATCTCAGCCTTGTTGTCACAGTGCTTTCTTTGTTTTAGGCAGGATTTCTTGCATTTTCTACTTTGAGCTGTTCTCTGGGATTGTTCTTAAATCCCTGCCTCTTAAACTATCGGGCAATTCAAAAGAGTACAGTAGCTATACTTTTCTAATTACAAAATGAAGATCTTATCAGATTCTTTGCAAATGGGATCATGGGGTTAATTCTCAATATAATAAGTATATAAAGAGGGATATCTGTATATTCCTCCGCTAGAAGATACACTGAATAAGATGATGTCCACAGCCAATGTAGTTTTCTTTCTGTCTCTAAAACACACATTGTGCATGTAGTTTGTTTAGTTCTTTGATGGTCACTGTCTTTCCTACTCTTTGCTTTTATTCTGTCTGACTGTATTGTATTTCAATTTCATGAAACTTTTACTTAGGGCATTGAGCAGATATGTGTGCATCTTGTTATTCATTCACTATTCACATATCTTTGGAACATCTGCCATTTGTAAAACATGATGGATAAGCGTGAGATTCCCCCTCCGCTCCCAGAGAGCTCAGAAACTGTCCTGATGACTCAGCGTCCTGTAGACCAGTGACATGCGGTCACTGCAGCAGGATTGGAACGCCCTGGAGTGGCAGGCAAGGGATAGTCCTACTGGCCTCTGACCTGGCCCTCTCAGGATCAGTAGGTTTCCCGAAGTAGAGAGGGTTGCTGTTGGAAGAGCACCGAGTGTGAAGCTGCAGGCTGTGGAGCACAGTGCAGTCCAGTGAACTGAGCTAAAAGGGCAGTCAGTGAGGCTCAGGGTTCGCTGAGGCCTCATCAGCAAGGGTCTTGACTGCCTTGCTGGTTTGAGCTTTGATTATAATGAAGGGTTTTGAATAAGTGATTATCATAACCTTACTCTTCTTGAGCCCTGGACTATCACTTCTGAAGTTTTTTGTAAATATTTATAATTTTCCTTTCAACACTGCCATGGTGTTTGAGAAGAAAATTTCATTAATATTCTATTGGTTAAATGAAAGCTAGCAAAATGCTCACTAGAGGGTGCTCTGATCCCTAGCTGAGCCTCCAGAGAGTCTGCCAGGCTGGAGCAGATTATTATTGAAAGGTTTTCTCGCCTAGAGAAGAAACAAACAAACCCATAGTCCTTCAATCCCTGTTTTCCATGAAGGACGTTGATGCATGCAGAATTCACAGTGCCCAGGGCTGTGACTGGAAGGTTCAGGACCTTGTACGCTCAAGGCAGTCATTGCAGGCAAAAGTGTGAGGAGTGTGTGTGGTGGGAGAGTGCTCAGGATGATGCTGGACTTAATTAACAGGCAGCACGGAAGCAATCAGGGTGATGACTGAGTAGTTCCCTGTCCCTGCCCGTTAGGTTGTTCAACCTCTTAGCAGCTCTGTGTAATATTCCACTGGCCGTTTCTGATGCAGAGAACGATGAGTTTGCTGGGAGCAGAGTGGAGAATAAGGACCTAACCCTTCCTCCTTGTGTTTCAGATCAAGTGGGGAGCCTGTGGCCTGGTGCTGGCGGGCAACGCAGTCATTTTCCTGACAATTCAAGGTTTTTTCCTCGTCTTTGGAAGAGGAGATGATGTTAGCTGGGAGCAGTGGTAGCACTTTGCTCCAACAGAGCCCTGTGTTCTTTAGACTTTGTCCTATGTGTGTTTGTGCACACACGCGTTGTTTTACTATGGTGTTTATATGGTGAGCTTTTATACTTTTCTATCATGATCATTTTTAAGGAAGACTCCGCAAGTAAGAGGTTAGTTTTATTTCCAGCAAGTAGAAGTTGAATTATGTCATCTGTCTGGCTCTTCACATGGCTGCAGTGTGCTCAGGGTAAGCGCCGTGTGTAGGCAACTGCTCATTCGGGCAGGGCTCCCAGGGCCTAGGGAGACCGTCGGCCCCCGGTGTCCCAGGCCCGAGCCTCTCCAAACAGGGTCCACACATCAAGGGCAGCAGCAGAACCCTGGAGCTCGGGCCTTGTTAGCAATGCGGCACCTAAGGCCCCACTCCCGAGTGACTCGTGTGCACATTCATGCTTGGGAAGCTTTGCGTGGAGGAATAAGCAGCGTCCCTGACTGCCTTGTCCTCCTTTGGCTCAACCACTTAGCCTTGCTGGGCGTCACCTGCCCCTGTGTAAGGAAATAGCCCCCTGCCCGGGTTCAGATGCCCTCGGTGTCTGAGATTCACTCTGTAGTACACGGGCTGTTTGTCAGACCTGTGGCAGGTGTTCTCAGTAGGGAACAGGTGTGCTCTCCACACCTGAGAGGCAGTGGCTGCTGTCACAGTGCCAGGCACAGCAGGCAGGCCGGGCCGGGAAGAGTGCATGGGCAATGCTTCGTCATTCCCCACCCCGCCCTTTCCTCGCCTGGGCCGATGTGCTCTTTCCTCTTGATGGCTCTGACTTCCACTTCTTATAAAGATGAGAGGGCAAGGGGGGAGCAGAGGGTGGATCACTTAGTTTTACTGACATTTTGATGTACTTCTTATCCTTCATGTAAAACTTTAAGCCACCTGTAAATGAATCATTAGCAGTGCATGTCATGTCGAGTCCTGAGATCATGGCTTTTCTAGCTTATCTTCTTATCCAAGATCTGTTGAGAAAAGGAAATATGAAAAATGGAACCACTTGATTGGATCACAACCAGTGACTTTAGAACGTTGGTGTGCGGCCACTGATGTGTGCTTGGAACACATCCAGCTTGAAGTGTGAGCCCCACGCTCCCTCCCCGGCTGGGCTGGGGCTGCGGGGACAGAGGACAGAGGACAGAGGAGCACGGCGCCTCGGAGGATCATGTGCAATGCTGTGTTTTGACCCTGTGCAGGATCTCATGTTTTTAGGGTTCTGTTTACATGTAGAATTGTTCAAGTTGTTATTCCCAATATTTACATTAGAGAAATTATTTAGATACTTTATAATTTTAAGCAGCATTTTTAATCATGACACTTGGCTATTATTGTATTGTAATAAATTTCACTTTTAACACAAAAGAAAAGTTTACTTTGAAGTCTTTATTCTGATGTTGCCCTGCTTGAGAGATAATGAAAAGGTGAGAATTTCTTGACGTTATGTGATGGGCAGTTTTGAGCGGTAATCTGCCCTACCTTAGAACATAGCATAACTCTAGGGACTCTATTTGGGAATGTCTGGTTGGCTTGAAATAGTGTTTCTTTCCCTCCGATGGCAACAACAATCAGTTTATTCTACCTTTTGCAGTAGCATGTTCTTTATATATATTTCAGAGAACCCAGATGGCCCTAATGTGTAGGCTTAGAGCATTACCTCTTGGTTGTGTTTTTTCAGGATGATATAAAATACTTGCATAAAGGACATTTGAAGTCATTCGGTCTGTGTCTGGAAAAGACATTTCTTCTGTGGTACCCAAGTATCATTTAAATGATAAATATCAGTTGCAAGCATTGCCATATGCTGGTGACGCGGTGCTGGTGACTTTTCCTGTGTAACAGTGGTGGCGAACCTAGGGCACACGTGCCACAGCCAGCTGTTTGGTAACGTTGAAAGCTCTAAAAGGTTCACCATTACTGCTATATACTGCAGGATCGATTTGGACATTGAAACATGTTGATTACTGAGACTACACTTCCAGAATTGTCCACAAGTGAGCACCTCTGGAAGGCTCTCCCTCTCCCATTCCAGACACTGACTCGAGCGACTTCGAAGCACTTTTCCCACGGCAGCGACATTCACGATTGGTGGTGGGTCCCAGGCTGGGCCTGCTGGACAGCTGAGCTGGGACGCCGCAGGGACCTGCCCGAGTCTGGGGTCCGGACCAGGGTGCTGAGAAGTGTTTGCAGGAAGGATGTGGACGTTTCCACCTCTTTTCCTGAAAGCAGGGTCTTCGCACTTCAGTGTTTGTGCACCACTGCCACCCTACGGTGCAGGTCCCCCCCCCCCCCAGTCCCGCGCCCTGCCTTCATCGCCTGTCCTGCCAACCGCTGCTTCTTGGTGGACCTCACCTCCCCAAGAATTAGTTTCTCAAGCGCAGTGGATCCCAGGTGCTGCTGAAAAGCGATTCGGCTCAGCCTCCTGGCGGCAAGAACAAGCACCGTGAGCGACTCCGCCCCGCTCTGAAACTCAAGCTCCCTGTGTCACGGGCTCGAACAGCGCGCTGGGACACGGGACCCCTGATGCGAGAGGCCCGCGTGTCCAAGTACAGCGAAGAAGACACCCAGAGGTGTAGCAAAGGACAGCGTCGGGGACCAGGCCAGCCTGGCGTGGCTCATTCCTCGGGGCCTCTTCCCGGCTGGACTTGACCGGCCGAGGAGCCCTTCTGTTGCCTCCTCCGAGGCGCTCTGCTGGATGAAGGCTCATGGAGACACGGAGACGCTTCATTTTGCCAGTGACGCTGCTGGGCCCTCAGGGACAGGCTCAGATGACGTCACGGAAACGCTCCTTTTCAAAGTTTGCAAAGCTCAGATCAGTTCCCTAGGAGAGCTAAAATAGAGTACGCCAGAAAAATGTGTATGCGTCAGCAGCTCGCCGAACTAACAGACATCTGGTAGCTCCTGGCCACCACCCGGAGTGTCTCTTGTGAGTGTAGAGGCCAAAGGAAACTTGCATTGATCTCAGTGTCTCAGTAAGTTAGTATTAAAATATTTACTCACATTTTTCTTTTCCTCATGTATACGTTTTTTGGCGAGCTCTATTTTTGAGGATGCTACCATTTTTCAAGCATAGTAATTAGTTCACAACTGGAAAACATTTTTGTAGACAAATCTAAGTTGTGCATTTTCATTCTCCTTTCCCCATTCTGCCTCAGGAAGCACCCTCCTTAGAAAACTCGCATTGTATAAATAGCTCATGACTTTCACAGAATCTGATTTGAAGCTTCCGTGCGCTGGCAACCCCAGCCGAAGTGTAAAGGTCCCCAAGACTTTGACATGCATAATAGACGTGTGATGAGAACGGTTGCTTTTAAAATAAAACTTGTCATTTACACTTCCACAAAGGCTTTTATGTACACCATTAAATGAAAAAATTTATACTTTGGGGCACATGATATGCAGAAATGAGACGCGTGGGTTTGTTTTCCCAGCGTTTAGATAGAAATAATGCGACTCATGGCTGGAGGCCCAACCTACTGTGGCTGAGGAGAAGCAGCTGGGAATGTGCTGAACAGAAGGAGTCCAGGCCGGATTGCAGCTGTGCGGTGGCTTCAGTCTCCAGGGGAGGTGGGCATGGTTCATCATGAACATGCCGCACAAGAAAGGGGAGAAAAATCTAACATTTGAGAAGGAAAGTAATTTACCTGCAGAGTCCTGGGCACTCTAGAAAAGGACACAGCGATGTGAGGTACTGCTTAAGGAATGCTGTGTGCATGTGTGCATGTGCATGCCTGTGTGTGCGCATGCGTGTGCTCCTCATGTATGACGCAGTTAGGGAAGATCTATCTGCTGTTGTGCACGTGGGGTTAGGCAACTAGATAATAAAGAGATTGAATTGGCTATTTCTTTTGTTCCTCAGTGAAGTGTACAGTTAATTACTAGGAACAGGAATGTGGTAATGACAGTGTAACCATAAAATGTCCCCAAAAGTACCCAGGAAAATTAGTAGGTGACCACTGTGCAGCAGTTACCCATCGTCAGTCCTGGGCACCTAGGCGAATTGGTCTTCGCTATTCCATTGGCTCTTTGTAGGACCCACACCTGGAGACTTCATCGCGGAATATATCTTTGTAAAGATTGGGTATTAGAGCTTTTACCCATCCTTCCAAATTAATTATTAGATATTAAATCAAACTTGTGCATTTTTCTTCTCAAAAATAAATAAGACCCCCCCCCCCCAGTAAGACCATCAATTCAGCCTTCACTGGGTAATCATCTCATTTAATGATTTAAGGTGTACACGCACCAGTGCTGTCTCAATACCTTCATTGAGAAGATTTCAGGGTTCGGTAAAGTTTCATGATTCTTAGAGCTTTCTTCCCGAAGCTGTGTGCTGGTTCCCCTGACAAATCCAGAGTTCTCTAGCACACTCAGCCGCCATGGCTGCAGCCGTGCCATTTGTGACAAAGCTTCTGCTGGAATCTACCTGCCCCGATGGGAATGTGTTGGTCGAGCTTCACACCCCGGCTCTGCTGGGACCTTCATTCATTCGGGCGCAACGTCAGGATCTGTGGTGAGCGCCCCGCGGTCCCTATGCCATGCTCCACAGCCTGGTCCCCACGGGTTGTGGCTGAGAACAGGCGTGAACTCCTTGCTTGCCTGGCCATGGTGTCTCCTGGCAGGGACATTTTGCACCCTGAAGCCATCTAGCCAGATCCTCTGAGACGGAGGCTCCCATGAAGCACTGCACCAACACTGGTCTCTGACTTTTTAATAAAGGGAAGCTGGAGGCTGTGAGGGAAGGCAGATACACAGGCAGTCCAAAGATGGGAACCTGAGACACATAAATAAGAGGTGAGTGATGCCACATAAAACGTGTTTGTGAGGCTGATTAGAGGCATGAGCAGGTACAGGGTTAGTGCACTTCTGACAAGTCTAATTGGAATTGATGTAATGGAAATTATATGTGTATCAGATGTTAAGGAGTAAACTTCATTTGTTTAACAAAAACCTTTCCTACCCACTGCACTGTTGATGTGGTGATGTCACGCTGTCTTGTGGGTTTGCCTTTGGTAGGTGGCTGACTCACACATTTTCATCTCTGGCCCAGACTTCTCTAAGTGCGTGTGGACCCTGCTGGCCCACCACCTCTCCATGCCGAAGCCTCTGTGCTCTTCCAGCTCCGCGTGTCCAGGATCAGGCCTCAATTCCATCTCTAGTCTCAGGACAAAGGACTTGATGTCCCAGACCTGCCCTACGTGGACTCCAGCAGGAAATACTGTGCTTGTAGTTTCAAGAGTAGCCACAGCAAAAACACTAGAGCTTTGGCGATGCCACTGCAGTCCAAGAAGGCACTCCTGCATCTAGATCATCCCGAGAGCCCCCACTGGCTTCCTTTGGATGAGTTTCAGTGCAGCATTTGGTGAGCCTGCAATACTGAGTCACTTACCACTCCGATGGCTTTCTGTCTCACTATCATCCAAGTTAAAAATGCAGGACAGATCTGAGTAGGTGTTTCTTGAAGATGTAGACATTGCACTAAGCACAGAAAAATACATAGGACCAACACTATTATTCTCCAGGGAAGTAATGAGAAATGACTTCATGGCCCCTAGAATGGGAATAATTAGAAGGATGGTGACACGTGTTGGCAAGGATGTGGATGTACTGGAACCCTTGTAAATTATTGATGGGAATGTAAAACAGTGTAGCCGCTTGGGAAAAGTAACTTGGTTCCTCAAAATGCTTTAATATTGAGATACAACATGGCCCAGCAACCCCACTCCTAGGTCATACTCAGAGGGACAGTGCATCATATAAACATTGTGAACATGAACATTCATAGCAGCATCATTCATAACAGCCAAAAAGTAGAAATGAGGCAAATGCGTACCAGCTGGTGAATGGCTAATCTGGCCTGTCCACACAACAGAGTGTTTCCCAGCCATAAAAGGAATGGGGTAGAGATACCTGCCGCAGCCTGGACAGGTCTTGAAAACAATATCCTAAGTGAAAAAAACCAGTCATAAGAGGCTGCAGAGATGATTCTATGTGAAATATTCAGTAAATGTGAGCAAACCCTTAGAAATAGACTAGATCCACACTTGCTGGGGCGGGGAAGGGAAATGGAGACTGACCCCTAATGGGTGTGGGGTTTCTTTGGGTGTGAAGAAAATGTTCTGAAATTCATAGTGATGCTTGCACAGCTCTTTGAATATATTAAAACTATTGGCCTATACATTTTAAAAGGGTGACTGGTACGGCTTTTATCTGGCGCTCTTCAGAGGCGGCTGGACCTAGGGTGTGTGATTATGGATTAAGGGTGTGATAACTGGATCAGTCCACTGATTGGTTTAGCATGGTTGTGGGTGTGGATGATGGGAAGCCCCACCCTGGATGTGGGTGGCCCCAACCAATAGGCTTGT